CGGGAAAGACTGTCATTTAAAATTAATCTGGCGCCGAATTGTCGGCATGCCGAAGTTTTTTCCAACATGCGGATGTGATGGAAAATAAATTTGAATACTTCGCTTGGTGATTGAATCAGTGATTTTAGGTTACTGTTTGCGAATCTGTCGAGTGTGGAGCCATCAGCAAATGTGCCACCTATGACGAGTTTGGGTTCACCAGTGCAGTCATTGAGGTCGGCGAAGAAACTGATTCGACGTCCTTGCATTTGCACTGCAGTCAATTCCTCGATGGTCAGCAATTTATTTCTGCGACAGAGAAAACTTTATTTATGCACCGGAGTTGCCAGACTTCGTTTCGGAGCTTTTGAATTATTGAAGCACCCATTTTTGTTTCAATGATGAAATTATCACGAGATTTATTTTTTTCATTAACTGATTTTATTGCTCGAGCTAATGAAACTGTCTTAAAAGAATGGAAGTTGAAACAAGGTTTCTCAAATTTAAGAATCGCTCTTCTTTGATACTAAAGGAACCGAAATTAATTCATCTGAAAAAATACGTGAATAAGGGTAACAGTTCAAAGATTGCAAAATGGCTTTCAGGAAAAAGAAAATAATGGATTTTTTTTAATGCAGATCTAAGGGTTTGTGCAGAACCAATCATAAAAAGTATCAATTTTATGGCTTCTGAGTTCCAAAAACTACTCTTCAAGGCATTTTCATATGTTCTCTTCCATGCTTTTCCTTTACTGAATTTGGAATCCTTCTACAGTATGAAATAGTACATTATTTTATGTAACATTAAATAAAAGAATAATAGTACAGAGAAAATAGCTGCGGATAACTGGCTTAAAATTTTCTGGAAGACCTTATTCTGGGCTCAGAGACATTTTTATTGTGAAGAGTACAACTTCTAATTATAAAATTGGCATTAGTTGCAAGATAAAAATTGGACCACGAGTTCCCGATTTGAGAGAAAAGCGTTTCAGCCATTATTTAACTGAATACAGGAATTTTCCACGAATAATAACGAATAGTTAAGGGACCACGAAATAATCACATCATGCAGATAATTATTCACAGAGCAGTAGCCTATAAATTTCATAAACGTTTTCTGGGACCAAAAAATAATTTCATCGTCCTTCGAGCATCGATTTAAACGCAAAAATATTCTGCTCAAGAGCCCACCTTCAATAAATATCAATAAGTTTAATTACCTTGGACGGTCGACTGAAGCAATACGAATCGCAGAATTTGACAATTCGCAAGATGCTGAATCGACTGACAACAGTTGACCTGTGATTGGGTCAAGTGAGTGCAGATTCACTGCCACCGATCCATCTTGAAGTACATTGTATTGCTGCTGAAGCAGGTAAGCTTTTCCTAAAGAAATAATGACATAATCAAAAATCGTCATCATCAAAATACTGTATATTCGAAAGCCTTTAACGCAAACGTTTTTCACTTACTGTATTTTTTTTCATTGAATACAGAGAGGCTTTGCTGTGGACGTACTAATTTTTCCAGTTGAAATTGCTCGAAATCTTCATTTACTCATTTGTTTAGAAATTTCCCTAGTTTTAATTGGCACTTACCATCTCTTTTTGCAACCATTTTGCTGACGAAGTTGACACTTGAGCCGGTTTCGACGTTGTCCCAAGACCAGCTAAATCTTCATTTACTCATTTGTTTAGAAATTTCCCTAGTTTTAATTGGCACTTACCATCTCTTTTTGCAACCATTTTGCTGACGAAGTTGACACTTGAGCCGGTTTCGACGTTGTCCCAAGACCAGCCATTTATCGTTTGACCATATATCTGATGGGAAATATTGAAATATATTTTTAAAAATAAGGGATGATCACATTTTTAAAAAGAAATCTGTAGATTTTCTTACTGTGGGGTAATACGGTCCATTTGGCGAGTCCCATCCGCACAATTTGGCATTGACAGTAACTTCGAGTCTGTGGTTATTTTGCAGAATCACGAGCAATTCCTCAAAATTACTGGCGATTGTCAAAGGGGTGCCTGGAAAATTTTGATCCCATTATTTTTTTCTGACTTCAAACTTAGAAACAGGGGTTTTAAAGCGCATCAAGCTTCAAATAAAATATTAAAAAATATGACATGGACAGATCGAAAGCTGAATTCGTCTTCACAGGTTGTAAAGCAGCAGCTATTATTTGGTTAAAAAATTTTTTGAAATTTGAAGCGTGTATAAATATTTCATTCCGAAAGAAATATGAGGTGCAGTAAATTTTTGACATTTTTGTGACGTCTGAATAAAGACGTGGAATATTTATTTTTGAAGTAGGCTCATTTCAGATCATCACTCAGGGGTTCTTTAAGTAATCGAGTTGCACATATTCATGTTTTTAATTATAAACATTTTCATTTTTTCAGCTATTTCTGATTGATGAAAAAAATGTGTGTGTTTTTTCGCCTTGCCTGCTGCTCTTTTGAAGGCTCGGACTGAGTCTCCAAGCTGACACTGAAAACCGACTTCTGGGGTTGTGAATCCATCTTCCCAAGTGATGAAGTCAAAAATAATTGGCATGTAATTAATGTTACCATCTGGCAAAACGGTAATTACAATTTTCTCAACCCCGACTTTGGCCTCAGTGAGGTAGTAATCGACCCAGACGTCATACGACATCCTCAGCGTCTCGTTGGGCAAACCTAGATGGGAAAAATAAAAAATATGCAATATGTATAAATAATAATCCAAAAATTATATAATCACCTTCATTAGTGATTTCCCAAGTGTCCATTACACTTCAAGCGTTAATTAACCTGGCAAATCCGAGATCTTCGCCTTCGCAAGCGCTCACTTCCGACTGGGTGAACACGTGGTCTCCGGAAATAAGAGCATCTTTCAAGTCCTCGTAATTTGACAATGGAACACTT